GCTGTCAATGAACCTAGTCACTTTATAGACTCGACACACTCTTCATCATAGGCCTCTTCTGGATGTCTGTAAACTCTGTTTTGACTAGTTGAGCGGTACAGGTGAAATCTGATCTCAGTAAAGAAAGCCACGCGATTTCAGTGTTCTACCCAGAAACGGTCATGGTCCCCAGTTCATTAAAGAAAACAGACGACGCTGTTTTGCCGTTTACAGTGGGTTCCCCGGAGGTCGTCTGGTATTCTAACCTGCTAAAACAAGTTTGTTGTTCGATAAGGGCCTTGAAAAACGCGTTTTGACAGCAATTTACCCCTCATTCTGAACGGACTGGGTGTTTTTTGTTTAGTTGCAGCACCATATCCCGAAAGGCAGTGAGTCCTGTACCCTGGTGGGAAGATTTTAATACATTGGGTGTGGCCTCTGTGTAGGTACATCAGTCTGGGCATTACTCTATAAAACTGTGCGGACCGTTCTGTTTGGCCCAATAATCTGTCTGGCAATGTCTGTCTTTTTAGCACCATTCTACCACAGATAAAAAATTTTTATAAATCACCACTTAGTTCTTTTTACGCACTGCAAAACCGACCGCTTGCATGCAAAATTTCAAATTTTTTTATGCAATAGTTGCCGACATATAGATACTTTTTTGACAGAACCATGCTTTGGCACACCCAAGCATGAACGAGTCCAAAGGAGCACTACCCAATTAAATCATTGCATAATACACAATACAGCAGTGCAATAAAGACATGGTAGTCAGTTCATTAGTAGCGACACACCTGACTACACACTTCTCCATTCACATATCTTATATGAGATCGGATTTTTTTTAAAAAAAGAATGCATTTTTACCAAGGCATACCTTCGAAACTAAAATATTCCATATCAAATGTCAAGTCTGTATATATATATATATATATATATATATATATATATATATATATATATATATATATATATCGGCTGTTTCACAATCAGGGTGACAAATAAATGTGGTGTCTGATAAATTAGCAATTTATGATTAGAGATTGCTGATAGACTGATATCAAAGACACTGTTCATAGGAGCAAAATAAAAAAGAATTGTAATAATCGGACTACAATTTACAAAAATATAGCCAATTATGTGTTCAAAATGTACTGTTACGATGGGTCATTTGCAATTAAGGTCATAAATATGATGAAACAGGCTTTCGTACACATTTTACCTATTTTTGTTAATGCAATAAAAAACATATTTGATAAGGCCAAATGTTACTTTGAAATCACCTACGTGAAAATAAGATGAATTTACCATGTTATGACTTAAACATAATTAAAGAGTTGTGCATATGTAACCATTATTAATAATGCTATGGTATTTATAATCATGAGCCCATGGTGTCTCCTAATTTTTGTAGTGTCCGTACCCCCCTATCTGTTTTATTTAGGAATCACAGCATATTCTGTCTGATTTTATTATTTTATGTATGTCCACACTAACACTTTTTTTTTTCAGGAAGAAAATAGCACATTACCCCTTATTATGAAAATATATGCAAGAATTTGGTGCCAAACGTAGTGTCCGTACCCCCAAGTTATACATTAACCATTGGATAACTGGCTACTTATCAATGATGGTAAAACTTCAAAAAATGGTACAAAATATTGTTCTAGATTGTATAAAATGCATTCATGTCCTATGATGTTTAGAAAAAACATTGTATATAAATGTATATTCGATAAAGTGATACTAATTAATAAGAGTCAGGCAAGACATTTTGCAAAAAAATAATATCAGTAAAGATTCTACTCTTTGCATTCAAAATGAACAATATTGCTTCCAATATATTGCCAAATATAGCTAATTGCAAAATAATAAATTGTATATGGATTAATATTCTATGGATTAATGTATATGATATATTTTGAGGGGGTACGGACACTACATTATTAACAGAGGTATATTTATAATACTCTCAGTGGATGAAGTATCAAACATGGATGACAATGAACAAAACCCAAAAAGGACAAGAAAAGGGAAACCTGAAATTTTTACTGTCACCAAAACTAATTTGAAAAAAAAAAAAAAAAACGTCAACGAGCTTATAGTCATGTTGAAGCACGTAAGGAAGATGTTGAATGCACGTAACATAGCAGAGAAGCAAAAAATGAAGAATCACCCAAGGCTGGCTCAGCAAGAAAGACTAAAGATGAGAGAAGAAATCAGGGCATACTGACAGAGAGTCAAGGAGAAGCAGAAACCACAATCCTGAAAACAGCAGAGAAAGAGGTGCAAATTAATGAGAGATGGAAAAGAAGAAAAGACTCGAAAATCAAGAATCAAGACTGAAACAAAAATCAATCAATCAATAAATAAATAAATAAATAAAGACCAAGCAACATGAAATGAAAGTAAAACTGAATGACACTCAACCAAGCGCCAGCATCCAATGAAAACGTGCTGTGGTGTTTCTCTATAAAACATTTTGGTTAATACATGTACTTGTATCCTTTTGGTTAAAGTACTGTTGTTATATATTTATTTTGATACTTTTAGAATGTTGGCAAAAATAACTGGTAAACAATATGATATTTCAGTTACAAAAGCATCAGTTACTTGAATGTAAAGTGTCCGTACCCCTAAATCATAGCCTAAGAGGCATTCTGTTAATTTGAACGCAACACAAAAAAAAAATAATATTGTGTTCTAAAATGTTGGATGTCATAGTTAAGATGTTATTCTTTTTATCTGTTACAAAATTAAACAAATGCACCAGAGTTAATTTTTCTCTCAATGTGACCCCTGATTGTGAAACAGCCGATATATATATATATATATATATATATATATATATATATAACCAGTTTTCATCAAGCCCAGAGGAAAAACAGATGAAACCCACATAGTTCCTGAGACAAAAAACTCTGAAAATAGGGCATGATCTAATTATCATTTAATGTAATATTTTTTGGGAAAAATGATCCCGCCCTTCCGCAACCAGGCTAGAAAGTGACCACTATTACCTGTATTCTCCCTTAATTTGAACTACTACTCATAACTGTACCTCATTACTTCATCCACCCAAACATCTCCACGGACCTTCTTTTACATCACAAACCGTGAATACCATAATTTTCCGCTATACTAACGAAACGCAGAAAATATTAAATATAGAGTACCCTGTATAATCGTTATATTTACACATTGGTAGTTTTGTTTATCACAGCTGCATAAATAATGAATCAAATATTCAAATATTCCAATATAAGTTCAGTAATTGTTCACCCAAATCCCAAACAAAATGATTCATGCCCTGTTTTGGTGGAGACAAATTGGTTTTATTTTGAGAAATCGTCTCGGTTTCAGTTCACGAGATGGAGCTAATGAACAAATATTATTTGCCACACGACGTAAGACCGTACTTTGGATTTGAGAACTAATCCTGAAACCACCAATCGGCCTGTCAATTAACCCATGGTCTAAAAGTGTAAAGGGTGATATTTTCAGTCCAAATGTATAATGGCAAATGTCTTTAAACCTTCACTGTACCAAATTAATTGTACAAGTCAATTTTCATTTTTCCATTTAAACGCAGACTCTCTATGTTTAGTGGCAGTATCTAACCCCAGATTTCAGTTGAATATAATCTTAGTTTTGATGCACGCGCACGCGCAATAGGCACGCGCAATAGGCCTACATAATCAATACTTTCTTATCCATTGCAAAAGTGTTGCAAATTAAAAGAAAACATTCTAACGAGGTCCAAAACAGTTATACATTTTTATTGTTTATTTTGTCGTGAAAAATGCTGCATAGATTTATCATTCTTAAAAATTGCTGTCCTTTGAATACTCAGAACTAAGGTAAATATATTCTAACCTACCTTTATATCTTGTTCAGCCGTTTATGTTGCAGAAAAAGCGTCTGATAATGCTGCTTAAAACCTGTCGAGTGCTCTGTGAAGCTTGGTAATGCAGTATCCAATAAAACTCTCCCTTGCACTTTTTTCTTTCCTTCAATGCTGACATAGGGGCAGGTAGGCAGCCGTTATATGGGTACATTTATCTGCATTGGTGTCGACTTATTAAAAAACACCTGTATAAACTCATTGCAGACTGATTAATGCGCTCAACGCAGTGCCAAAGTGGGGGGAGGGGGAGGTGCGCTATATTTACAAGACCGCGCACTATTCCGAATATACATCAAGACTTTTAACCCATAACAGAAGTCTGTGTGATGATTTTTCATGTCATTACGCTGCAACAGCAACTCTTCCTCAAGGTACCGCACTTATTTTCGATCAATCTTGAAAATTACTGTTCCCGTGATGTCTACTGAGATTAATTCGCCTTTCTTTTCGGATCAGACACATATCGTTAGAAAAATTGTTTTTGTTGTGAATTTCAGTATGTAATAACAGCGCGTTTTATAACTTTCCGTTTAATTAATTAAATATCTGCAGTGCACGTGCCCTGCCAAAATTAGTACCAGAGCCGGTGTAACAGGAATGCAAGTCTGCTAGGAACCGTAGTCCGCTTCCCATTACTTTGTACAGGTGACATTCGTCCCACATACTAACCCCAATACTCCAACTAACCCTAACTGTACTAATCATATGGGAGCCCAGACTTCCATTCCTAGGACTTGCATTCCTGTTACACCGTCGCATTCTCTCCAGTTTGGCTGTGCGTCAATTCACCCAGCTTCCTGAGCTTAATTCAAGTACACCTGACCAGTTTGCGTGTCTGTGCGTACCTCTCCTTTTCTCTCTGTGGTCGCGTGCATCCTGCATGTTTAGCCTTCCGGACATCACTATAAGCGTCTCAAGGTCGACAGAGCAGGAGAGAGATTATTTCTTTTCTGGCACGGCGGCAATGACCAGTTAAATTCTCAGCGATTCTGTTAAATTTTTTTCCTGCCGACGGCAGCTGTTTTCTTTTTTACTCTATATATTTCTTTTTCAGTTAACGCTGTGAAACATATTTTGAAATAACAAAAATTTGATTTATTATTCAGTATCAGTAGTGGAAATATCCACAAATTACAGGTCTACTGTAATCATTAACAATAAAGCAAATTTAAGCCTTTTTAGTTAAGCTATAATTATTCTTCTATCCATCCAATTTGATTCTGCAAATATAGTGCAAGCTTGCCAATATTTGGAATTCATCAAAAAAAAAATTTGCTGAATAATATATACTGGTATAATGGCCGGCAGAAATTAAGCAACAGCCTGACACATTCACTCTTTCTTCAACTGCGACCTCCGTCATTAGCCTTGTCCTTTATCAAAGCAAAATCTGTATGCCAGTTACACAGACACCTGCTGTTATCTTAGACCTAAGAGGTTCTAAAACAAGAGAAGCTGCATGGAGTTAGTCCACAGTTTGGGACATTGTTGTAATATTAATTCTTTGACAAGATTATTTATACCATTCATCGCAACTTAAGTATTTAAGTCCACTCTTGTTCTTTCTTAACAAAAAACTAAAGATGATATTCAACAAATACACTCTTCTTTTAAATGAAAATATTACATCTTTGCTTTTTTTATCTACAGCTGGTAATAGTTAAAATGTCTTCTGTTATAATTAATTCATAATGGGTAATTACAGTAAATGCATTCTTCTGCTAATAATGTGCCAACAATTATAGTTCTCCAGTTTTAAATTTATTATTAAATTCTTTTATTTGTAAAATAAAAATCAGAAATATGATTTACTGACCAGAGTTGAAATATTTTCTAGTAAAACATAACCTATCTAGAATAGTGGCAGTGCACATATTATTATTTTTACATAGTTCATAGAGTAGAAAAACTACATGAGCTGGTTTCACAAAAAAAAATTGGTTTTGGTTTTCATAATTTGCAAATAAATCTATGACGGAAGTCCACTCACATATAGCAAGAATTGCTCTGAAATATTAGTAATGTCTTTTTTGATAAAAACCAGGCCCACCGTTTTACTTAATTGAACTACCATTGATCTATAATGAGTCTAAGTCCTCAAAAACACCAGTCTAAAAGTTTCCATCATTTATCTTTTGTGAAAAGGGAGCCCCCGAAAAAAAAAAAAAAAAAAAAAAAAAAAAAACACAACAAGCACTTCCAATTCACTTGGTGAGGATTTCTTTGACAGCTTTGACAATACAGTCTGGACCAATGCCAAACATCTCCATCAACTGGTCTGAAGGACCACTGCGCGGAACGCCTGTCACTGCCAGTTTCTTCACCACCACATTGCGCTCTCCCTCCAATGCAGACAAAACGGCCTCCCCAAGTCCCCCTGAAAAGAACAAATTGATTTGAAATCATAAAAATAAATTATATTTATAATGTATATTATAATAGTGTTTATCTTGTATTTGTGCATAACAATGTTTTGCGTTGTACTTTATCACCATTTCTGTGATGCATTTGCTTTGAGCTTAGTTTTCATACAAATGAATACAAAAAAATAAAATATGATGCACTCAAGTAAATTTTCTGTCAGGTTAATTTCATCCTTCACATATGTCACAAATGAACCATCTGCTGGAAATTTAAAAAAAAAGTAAAACTGTCTTCCACTTATCGTGCATGGCGACGGCGATGACGGTGACGACAGACACAGGTGATGGCAATATGGTGATGACACATCTGTGTCTGTACATAAAAAACCCTCTCACATTTGTAAGCAATTATCTGTTTTCAATTCTGGCAAAAAAATTCTGTCATTTTTTTAAATGGGCTACTAAGCTGAAATTTTCCCAATTTAAAGTAGACAAGATCCAATATTTTATTGGTCTTTGTCTACTTTCACCTACTTTCCTTTTTTTTTTTTTTTTTTTCGTGAAACCTGAGAGATCTTTAAGTGATAGGCCTAGTACTAGCATGAAGGCAGTTTTGCATGGTCAGCAGCTCCCCCTACCTTCAGGATAGTGGTCCTCTACAGTAATCACTCTGCCGTCTGTCTCCTTGGCACACTGTATGATGGTGGCGGCATCTATAGGTTTGACAGTGAAGGGATCCACAACACGGATATTGATGTTGCTATCTGCCAATTTGTCAGCGGCTTTAAGGGCATTGTGGAGAGTAATACCAGCACCTATGATTGTCACATGGTCTTTGTCCGATTTTCTTACAACCTGCAATAAAAGGAACCAATTATCAGATAAAAAAATAAATGAAATATAATGAGACAGAGAGCACTCTGATAGTGCATACCCAGTACATCCTGACACTTCAAGACAAAAGTGACCTGACAGTGGAAGGCCAGTAAACATCAGGGGATGTACCTGCTCCTAACATCTATTATTATTATTATTATTATTATTATTATCAGGCCCGTAGCCAGGGGGGGGGGGTTCAAAAGAACCGCCCCTTTTGCTGGGAAAAATCGCTCTGGTTAAAATTTTATCTAAGTACATGAAGTTTTTATGGGAAAAGGTCCACTTTTTCAAAAAAAGAACCCCCTTTTGAAATTGCTGGCTACAGGCCTGAAGATCCAATATCGACTGAGCTGAAGAGCACTTTGACATCCACATCTTATACAAACCATCGAAACCACTGACACCATCCCCACCAACAATGAAATAATGGAATAGATGACAATCTCCATCCTAAAGATGAACGATAAGAAGAGGAACTGCACTAGTGCCAGCAAAGCCAGACAAAAAATTACAGCAGGAAGAAAAGCTGCAGAATAAAAAACAGAGGCTCCTGCTCCGTTTCCAAACATCCCCACTCAACTGACCCAAGAAAAGCTAAAACCTTTAACATGCTAATAAGTAAAGGATATATTATTCAAACTGCAAGAGAGGGTATGGAAGAAAGCCATGTTAAAAATGCCCAAGTTAAGGGTCTATAGAAAACTTAGTAGTGGAAAATTATGTAAAGTATAATTTAAAACTGGCAGAAAGATCAATCATGGCCAAGTTCAGATCAGGAGTTCTTTCATTATATGTGGAAACAGGCAGATTTGTTAACAAAAAAATTAGAAGATAGACTCTGTATTCTCTGTAACGATAAAAAAGTAGAAGATGAGTAGAATTTTTATTTGAATGCCCAATCTCAGAAAAAAATGGTGTGAAAAAGTGAAATTGGGCAATCGTTTCTATCATGACCCTGAGGAGGTTAAAGAGAGACCTCAAGTGCTTTTTACAGAATTTCATAGAAGCACAGCGAGGTTTCTCTTTAACGGCTTTCAGGTCAGAAAGAAGTTGCTATATAATTAATGTCAAAACGGGCAACTTTGTAAGCCCATAGGGCTGGGCCGATACATTTATATTCATATAATTGTATTATATTTGTATAAATTCGGTATTGTCAGGAAAATAAATCTATTTAACTATATAGAAAAAACACAGTGATCTACAATCTCACTCAGTAAGTAGCATCAGTGAATATACTGGTACCTAATTGGTGAAAAGGACAAGATAGGATGGAAAGGACCCACCATCACTGAAAAGATATTATCTTTCTGTATTGAGTGAAGCTAAAATATTCAATATTTGTCACAGACGATGACAGGCTTATGCCCTGAAGGGACAGAAACATCCCCTTGTGGATTAAGGCACATTAAGCTGCTACTAAACAACCTCAGCACTCCAGTTGTGTAGGGAAGAAGAATTGACACCAAATTGTATTTGCAGGGAGCCTCCCAGGTGCACATTCATGACCCAGGCGGAGAGTTGGCACAGCTTCATTGTCTATTACAGAGGTCACCTCATAGGGATATCTTACTAGACAGCTCACCAAGCAAAAGTCAATATAGAAATGACAACAACACAGTGATCTGCAATCTCACTCAGTAAGAAGAATCAGCACATACTTTAATAGCATAGCATACTTTAATACTTGGAATTATATATTTTCTTGTTTTATCACGAAAAGTTTTATTATTTAGACTATTTCTATTATAACCAGCATTAATAGCTATTTTAATTGTTTTATTCACCTCAGCTTTTAGTATTTATATAATTACTTGTAAATTGGATAATTTTATTTGTAAACAGCGCTGTGACGGAAGTGTAGTGCAGTTTTTAAGAAAAAATAATATTAATATTAATTATTATTATTAAAGTAATATTATGTGAAAATAAAATATTGCTACCTTAATCACTTATGACATAATGAGATGATATGGTGGATAGCTTAATACATCTCACACACCCACCTTTGCCTGACCAACACGGAACTCCTCGTTGTTATCGTACAGGGTTGCCGTGCCTGGGCGACTTGTGCGGATAAAACAGATCCCCTTGGTGTTGGCTGCCAGTTCCACCGCACGCTCACAAGACACCGCGTCACTTGGGTAGAACACGGTGGCTGTTGGGATAGCTCTGAACATGGCGATGTCTTCTAGAGCCATCTGAGAGGGGCCATCCTCACCTGGAAGCCATTTTGTATCATAATAACTCCAATCTGTTCACAATAATATATTTTAATGGGGCGATTCTTGACAATGACAAGTCTTTTTTTTATCACCACAAGCTTCAGAGGCCTAAAGAACACCTTCCTTCCAAACTTTGTATTATACAATTCCGCCAGCACGCTTACCAATTGAGACACCACAGTGAGACCCGCAAAGATTTACGTTGCTCTGAGATATGGCTGCCATTCTGATTTGATCGTAAGCACGGCTCAGGAAGCATGCAAAGGAGCTGGCAAAAGCCACTGTGCGATCACGAGTTGCACATCCGATGGCCACACCCACCAGGTTTTGTTCTGCTATGAAACATTCCACAAAGCGATCTGGACAGGCTTTCTGCAACATGAAGCAATAACATATATAACAACGATGCACTTACAAATACAGCATACGGTACATGTAATAATTTTTCGATGAATTTACAGCATGTTTCAAATAAGGCCCATGAACATGCATGCGGGTGTGCCTCCCTCTATCAAAGTGCTTTCTATACCTGTTCAAATTGTGATATGCCTTAAAACTTTAACCACCAGTTGCAGAGGAGATAGGGCAGATATTTAGGGCAAAGTTATGCTCATTTTCCCACCAGAGGCCCTTAAGGAGTAATTTCATTCACAGCATACTTAAAAAAAGTATTGTATACAAAATGTACAAATGAAAGACTATACCTGAAAGGTCAGAGCAAATGTGGAGTTTTTCACATCCCCATCCATTGCAACTACTGCTGTATTGGCTTTCCCTAGCTTGGCCAGGCCTGTGCCATAAGCCTGACGTGTTGCTACCTAAAACATGGTAAAATATAAAATGTGTACAAATACCATTATATAAATGCATGTTATCCAATTATTGACCTTTGGTCTGCAAAACTACATACTGACTGAAAGAAAAATACAAACTGACAAACTTATTTCAATTGCAGACATCTAATACTTTAATGTGGTAAGACTAAAGTAGGAATAGAAGAAATGGGTTGGTGGTCTTATTACCAGGGTCTGGGTCAGATAAACGCAAATTTCTGATTTAAAATGGACCAAAAACAAAAGCATGTCTGAGAATAGTGATAGCATAAAAAGAATCTGAAGGTATTTTTCTTAACACATTTGTTAGTAAGTAAACATTTTCATTTCTTCTTAAAATTCATTCCACTGTTTTAGTCCAAGTGCGCTACATATCACTGGCTTTCTTTCATTGGCCTGTTTACGTAACCTTGCATCATTTGTCCTTTACAACAGCTGTTCTTTTATACAACATGTACAAGATAAATATGTCCTCTTATTTTTTACCTTTTGTCCCTTGTTCTTTTCCACAACAAGTAAAGGATAACATCAAATACTTCCCCTTATTTTTGTACCTTTTGTCCCTTGCTATAAGCTGGAGGCTCTGACATCTTCAACCCAGTGGTGTTCACATTTGGCGCCTTTTTGACTGGGGAATCTGGCCTGATATTATGAAGAGAATTATTCACGATCACTTTCTCCACAGCGGCCAGGACTGCGTCTCCCTTCCCTCCCAATGGCTTGCCATGCCAGTTCTCTTCATCCTCAATACCTGGAAATCAATCATGTCAATAAAATTGAGAAAAAAAGACCAGTATTATGGTGTCCAAAACAAAATTCAGTTCATGTTAGCTAGCTGACAGACCTACTTGGATATTGCTGAGGGGATCAGGCCACAAGGATAATTTTTTGATTTCAAATGTTAAATTATGCTCAGCAGTATAACACAATATTCTCATGCATTTGTAGAGATGAAATAGTATGGTTTGGTTATCAATTTTTCTCTTTTCATTGATAATAATGATTTTTGGGGAGAGGTAGACTGGGGAACCTCAGAAACCGAGAGGAAGGCATAGACACTCACCAGCTGTGCCCTCCCCTGCACCCACCACAGAGTTCAGGGTGATATCCCTCACTCCATTTCACTTCTAATACTCATCGATTCTGGTCATCACTCTGTTTAAAACACCTGAGAACCCCTTACTGTTATACACATGTGAACCCCTAAAGACTTAAATGTTACATACCGGGAAACCTCTTATTACACACAAGGGCACCCCTTGTTGCAAACATGGGAACCCCTTGTTACATACCTGGGAACCCTTTGTTAACATACCTGGGAACCCCTTGCCCTTGTAAGTTTTTGCAATGACACAAGTTGGTATGCCCTTCACAGTGGTGGCAGTGTGGAAAACCTTGGCAAGAGCCTCCACATCATGGCCATCTATAACTACAGTGTTCCAGCTGAAAAGGCATCCATTAAAAATGTAAAAAAACTCAGTAAATCAGCTGTAAAGAAATCATGAAATACTAGTATCTTGGGACAAAATGCATTAACTAATATAAATATCTTTAAGTTAATTATCATTATTAATAATAATAATAATTATTATTATTTTTTTGCATTGCATTTTTTTTTATTTTGACTGTGAAAAACTATGACTTGAAAGCAAAAAATATTAATTTTCAACTTATTTCACTTGATCAGGGGTATTAATTTAATATTGTTGCCGAAAAAGCTATGTTTGTTTCAATGTTATGCCCCTCCCTTAATTTCCATCTTAAAAAAAATACTTAATTTTGCTTTGAAATTACAATCCTTCTAGTCTGACTTAAAAACGCAGGCAACATACTAGACAGATTATTGATATAAAATGGCATTACCCATAAGCCTCTGCTCTCCTCTTGTAGACATCAATGTCATGCTGGAATGCTGTTGGCTCACTCTGACCCAGGCGATTGACGTCAAAGATGGCGACCAAGTTGTCTAGTTTATAATACGATCCAAATGACATGGCCTCCCAAATAGAACCTTCTGCACTCTCTCCATCTCCAATGAGGCAGTAGACACGATAGCTGCAAGAGAATTATTGTCTACCAACCAATGTAACATTATTAATGGTTACATTGGTTGCTAATTTAACACTGGTCCTACACTAGTGAGAACTTTCTACAAGTTTTCCTTCTTCATTTTTTAAATTGAAAACTCTTTATATATATATATATATATATATATATATATATATATATATATATATATATATATATATATATATTTTTTTTTTTTTTTTTGTTCTTAACATTTATTCAAGTATAGAACTTACAGACAATTTTCTTACAATCACAAAAAACATTCAAGAATTTTTATACTGATAAATTAACAATATTATTATTATTACCATTTTCACAGCATAAAAGCCAGTTCATAACTTACTCAGTCTTGTCAAAGTATTTCCCAGTGTAGGCCATGCCAGCAGCACAGCTCAGACCCTGCCCCAGGGAACCTGTGGCCACGTCTACAAAGTTCAGGCGCTGAAGGGGGTCAAAGAGCATTCTTTATAACTTAAAGGTATTATTCTGCCTTAAATGTACAGAAAATTAACTGAATTTTCTTTTTCTAAATTAAGATCATTTTTAGTAAATGGTAAAGATTTCAGGTCGCAAATATTCTTTTCTCCCAAACTAATAAGTATCAATGCAGATACTTTTATAAATCAATATGACATCTTCAGTCTGCATTGACTTCACTAGAAAAATGTGCACACTGCCCTTTTTATTAAGAGCACACAATAATTTTATATATATATATAGGTAAAAGTATACTTCAACTTAAAACTGTGTGTGTGTGAGTGTGTGCATGTGTGTGTGCATGCGTGCGTCTTAACATTCTACTCACGGGGGTAGGATGTCCCTCCAAGTCACAGTCTATTTTTCTCAGGTTCATGAGATCTTCTACAGGGAACAGTCCGGTCTCTGCCCAGGCGGCATACAGAGCAGGGGCAGCATGACCCTTATGAAATAAAATTAATAATAATAGTAATAATAATACATACATAATGGTAGTCCCTGCATCCAGGGAAAAGTTTCTGTGAGCTACTGCTTCATATATATGGCTATTGTACAGAGTCCAATTCTGGATTTGCAATGCAATGACTTAGCTGGCACATGGCACACACACAGAAAACAAGTCCTCCCGTGCTCTGGGGCACTTATGAAACTATTAACTAAACTATTTAACATGACTTCTAAGGCAAATTAAACCAATATTTAAAATTCAGAATGATAGGTTTACTACATGTACACATTTTATGTTTCTAGTTCCATGTATAATTAGCTTGTTAGTAAGTTAGTTAGGTTGGTTTGTCTGTTTGTTAACAACGTTTTGCAAAAAGCTTATGGAATTTTTTTAAATTCAATTTATTTATGAAATTCAAAAACATGAGATGAACTGGGAACTGTTGGCATCATTTGAAAATGTCACGACATCACCAATTCAAGTCGACCACTGAACTGCACATTTGTAGTGCAAATGCCACATAATAACTTTGTTGTAATTCTGAGACAACATGTACGTTTCATTTTACTAAACAATCACCAAATGCTATAAATGAATGGCCATGCTGAAAGCTCTCTTTGTGCGTGCTTGCGTGCTATGTCATACGCCATATTAAGGTTTGCAATTCATTAAATTCCTGATCACAAAACTCATCACCCAAGATATTGCTTTCACAGGCATAAGTTAGGCTGTCCAGAAAGAAAGGTATTGGTTTCATTTTCTATACAATGGAATATAGGTGTGACAATGTAAAAGGATGATACTGACAGGTACTGGTGTTACCACATTCAACATTCAAAATTTTAAGCTATATTACTTGTGTTTCATCGTGTGTATACGTGAGCACACACACACACACACACTCAGGAAAAACGTCCAGAAAGAATTACAAAATGTAGTTCATTCAATCCTTTTTGGCTGGGAAAGATCCAACACCAATTAAACTTCAAATTTGATCTTCGTTCTATGCCATTACAGACAAAAAAAATCTGTCCATTTTTTCCACCTTCAAATTGCTACCTCCAGCAGGGGCAGATTTAGGCCGTCTTCTGGGTCTTCCGGAAGACGGTCAGATTTTTAACATTACATTGACAGGCATCTATTTTTTCTGTCGGAAGACGGTCAAAAATGGAGGATGGATCAACAAAGAAAATTTGGAAGACTCTCAGAAAATATCTCTGGATCCGCCCCTGTCCAGGCCTGCTGCAGGACTTACTGGCAACAGACATGAAATAATAGCTCAACATTCAATTTGCATTAACTCATTAATTCAGCATTATTTAATAATCCAAGTGCCAGCTTGCAACTATGAAGGTGCCTTGAATTAATAAACAAATTGCATATCTCATCTGGAAGTAATATTCCATATTACTTACTAAGTTTATTGGCAACAGAAGGGGAATTGAGGTATAACAAAGTTATCTGTTCATCATCATAGGGTCATTATATAATGGAGAGTTTGAAAGATATTAAAGATATCAAGAACAATTTCAGTTACATGTATCCGAGCATGTAATTACAAAGCAATGCACTGTAAATATATCCTGTGTTTGCATGTGGTTTTAAATTTTGGGGAGGTTAATTCATAAAAAATTGAGCAAAATTCCACATTTTAAATGCCGAAAATTTATCTGCTTTATTAATTTAATGAAATTTTACTTGATAGTACTATATTGGCAGTAAGTTTAGAGTTTTAAATAAAAATTAAGCTTTTGAAACATACTTGAAACTCTAAATGCAAATTTATTAACAGTGAACAAAGGTATTAAAAACAATTTTAAAAATGACTGTATTACAGGTTTAACCTTAATAAACTCTTAGAAAAGATGATTTACTGGTCTTAATTATGCATTTCTGTACTACTGAAGTCTTAGTATCAATTATTAAGACAATTACCTTATGTGATATATGCCCTGATAAACAGGTACATGTACTAGTACTGTACATATATACTATTATGTGAAATTTAACTGAATCTTACAAAATTTAGCAGACAATCTGAGTTCAAAGTTCAGGCATTATTTAAAAATGACCCATATATCACCAATATAGTTTAAAATTAAATCAAGCAACAACACTGTAACTGGCATGCACTCATCTTAGTGCGTGCATGCGTGCGTGCATACATGTGTGTGTGTGTGAGAGAGAGAGAGAGAGAGAGAGAGAGAGAAAGAAAGAGAGAATTTATATTAGACAAATACACTAATGCCGTGGATCAAACAACAACTTATTCATCAATAAAGTAATCGGAAGATCACGCCCCAAAGCTGAAAGTGGTTTATGCTGCATATCAGCATTGAAAGCTAGGGTCACGTAGGCAGGCTTTTCAAGCACCCAGGTTTTCTTTCATTTTAACCAATCCACTCAGTAAACAAGTGACCCAGCACTAAGTCAAGTGTCACGACTCTGGCAGTCTTCTTATAATACCTTAGTCAATATGCTCTCTGCATAACCCAACCTTCTCAATCATCCAGAAATGTATGAAAAGCTAGTCCAGTGATTATCATCTGCAATCAGTCATGGGTTGGATTTCATACAGATTTACTTATGCAGGTGACCGAGCGTATGAATGAGATTTTAACCCTGAGGATCATTTTGGACACAAAATGAAACAAGCAGTACGGCTGCATGCCAAACATGAACATCACAAATTTTTCGCATTAAGGGCACACCATGAAAGCAAGCTCCAGGTGGCTATACTGATATGGAATGTTGAGACTCAATAGTGAACCATGCTTACTAATTATATGTTTTTTGTAATGTATAAAAATGCCACTTCTATGAAATAAGTTTTCTTAATTTTAAATTATCAGAATTGTTGTAGTCTTTACAAATACCCCTCAAAGACCACTTAATTCTGCTCTTTCTAGACTGAATCTGTATATTCTTTCACTTAACATTTCAGCATACAAGGCATCTAATTTATTCCCCAAAATGATATCTTTGCATTATGTATCTCTGAAACCCTTACCTTTGAGAGCACAAATCTATCACTGCTGGGGTCCCTTGGCTCTTCCACCTTGTATTTCATAGTATGGAAGAACAGCACGGACATTATCTCGGCAATGGAAGCACATGATGTAGGATGTCTGAAATCACAGATAATATAATTTCATCATTTTAATAAATAGTACACTGCAAAATGTACCCCCCCCCCAAAAAAAAAAAAATAATAATAATAATAATTAAATAAATAAATAAAAAAAGCATTGTGATTGGTCAGAGTTGTTTCTTTTTTTTTCTTACCTAATCATTTGTCTGTTTGCAAATATTAACAGATAACAAAGTTTTAATTTTATCTTTAAATCCAAGACACGCTGCTAAAAAAATTATCTGCCAATGATATCTTTGGATACTCCTCTGCAACAATTGCATAGCCAGGACAGACAACTACTGTATACACTGTACATGTTTTGTCTCTGGACACTAGATCAAAAAGGCTGATTGTCAAACAAGAAAAAGATACGTGGACAATTTTGTCTTTTTTAAGCAACAGCAACCCTGATTACATGTACCTCCTCCATGTTTGTACAAAGGAAAATAAAACTGCATATCATAATTTGGAAACAATTTATTTCAGTTGTGATCGGATTTACAGCAATATCAATTCTACAGGCCTTAAAGAGCAGTCTGAGGACATACACATATCTGGACACAGATTGTTCACACCGACACTACCCATACATACTATACATGTGTAACATATATAATGATGCACATTCCAAGGCATGACCTTGCACATTTTCATTTCAAGTCACGTTGCATCGTGAAAAGCTCCCACAGTCCCACTGCTTATAAATAACGCAACTACCGCTTTGACGTATTTAGGAACACCTTACTATTAACGACCGAAACGCTCAAGCTTCCATCGAGCTGAGCCATATATGCATCGTTTAACCACGTGTGTTTACATTTCTTCCTCTGCACCTAACCTCACCCCCATGTTCGCCGGCGAGACGAATCACGTTAAATACACAGTGTCAGCGTTAAAAACAACCATCCAACACCTACCCAGAATTACTGGCGTTCGTTGAACGGATACTGTGCAACCTAATCCGGTTTGCAATGTCCTTAAGGGCCTGCGCCTTTTTGCTGTCTGGTCTGTGGTAGTCCGCCATGTTCACGAGGTGCTTGCAGAAAGGAAGAGAGTCTGAACTGTGAAGGGCCAGGGTCACCGCTAGAGGGCTTAAAATGAATTCAAGATAGCCCCAATCTGAGTCCTGGACTGTTGTGCACGGACTGAATGCGATAGCTGAGATATGCCACATGGAAAAAATCCTATCCTTTTTGTAATAATTTCGCAATATTGTGTTTTGACTCTTGCTAATAAATATAACTCAATAAAATCAAAAAATAAATAAAATCAAATTAGTTTGTGTTGAACATTGTTAAATATTGTTGAATACTGGTTATAATCAAGAAAAAATAGCTACAATTTTGTTGCATTAAATACTGGGCATCACTTTATCTTTAAAAACGCATCTTTACTTCCGTTTGTATAAAAATATACTTGTATCAACATACATGTAGAAGTCGTCTAAACTCCAATGCTTGATATCCACGTTTTAAAGAAATACTGTATTATCCAACTCTCAAGGGGTTAGGGGTAATAAAAGTGGGCAGGGCCCATTCACTTGAAGGTTGCATTGAAAACTTGAAATATTTCTTTAATGTCAAATGGTGGATTTACATTTTTTTCACCAATGTTAAAATACAAAGCAACCTCGGGACTTCAGTATTTAAGGGGACAGTGTATATGCATTGTTACCAGTTTTACTTCGCATTTATCTATCAGCTTCAGACGTATAGCTATGTAACTGTTACTACATTTTAAAGCTTTTTAACATACAACGCCCATTTTACCGGTATATGTTTAATGTACTGTATGTGCTATTCAGTGGCTGATTGTAAATATCGACAAATCTTTACTTTAAATCTCTTAATTTCTTGATTATAATAATTATCATTTTCTGCAAACCATCAGTATTAGCACGCTTAAACATGAATTGTGCCAAGATGAAAATAAGCACACAAATTCCCAATTATATATCAAACACCATATCATTCGTATTTCTTCTTGGATTGCTGCCCTATTAGTGTTAATATAGCTTCTCGGTTAGGATCACTATAATGAACTTGGTCTAGATCTGTTAATCCCTACTTTGACACTCTGATTGGTACAGTGATCACGTTTTATGGCCGCACACGTTAAGAGGCAAATTTTTTTTTTACTTCATAGACACAATTTTATTAATCTCTTTCATTTCTGTATGCATGTATCTTTAGTTTTTTTTATATTTTAAAGTATTAATTTGAAATTGCCGAAAATATTTTTACATAAATAAGCCGTGTGGCTCATAACATCTGTTAATGAACGGTATATTAGTACAGGTGCTCTGACATGCATGTAATCAAAAATCTGAAATAGGAAATGGTTTGCTTCATCAACTACAATTACAATAAACGCAAATAAGTCTACCCGTCCTTGCATTTGGATTCGACATTTTATACCTTTTCTTATAAAACAATTCAGTTCTAAAGAACTGTCCAGTGACTTAGAAAAACGTATTTTCTTGTACTTTTCAAAAGGAAAAATCAACACCAAGTACATGATTTTTTATTGTTATAAGTGTTTGAATTGGGAAAGATGATCGGGTGGCTCTGCAGGATATTCATACACAGAAAATATTAATCTTAACTGGCAAAGCAGGTTTCCAGTTAATTGCAGTCCCTCTTATATCGTTCACGAAGGTATGATCATAATCCAAACCACGTATTCTGGTATCAATTGCATACTAAAGGGCGGGGCTGCAATGTACATGTATTCTGTTTGAGGAATAAATGACACCACCTCTGCCATACCATGAATATGTTTCCAGGAACCTATTTCATAACACCATATCGATGTCAAGTGGATTTGCTCGAGTATCAAATCATTGGTGTTGTTGGCGAGGCAATGGCAAACACGTTGTCTCTCGACTTTTTACTTTCTTGAGTACAGACTCATTTAACATGCTGTCTTGCGTCACGTCTGAGATGGGGCGGTGGGACATTAAAGACACTGGCTCTGAAGGCAACGGATATATGCAAATATTTTTGCATTTTTGGTGTACAGTGTATTCTGAATATTAGGGAAAAAGTGCCGTGATGACAGGAGGACGGTTGTATTCGTCTTGACGAGGAAGGGATTGGTGGTATAAACATTCTGCCATGAATTGAACTTGGTTCATATTTTAACACGATGGAAACTTCGTTGCGTTTATGCAGTGGTTTACTAGTGGACTGTAACCAGACCTTAAATGCGGATAGTTTTAATGAAACAACAGAAAAAATCCCAACGCACGGAAAAACGGATTTCAACTTATACACTTTTTGTGTCTCAGGAGTATTCAACGGTTTGATTTGCACGCTGGGATTCATTTTCAACATTTTGTCGTTTTTAGTATTTAAAAAAGGGAAAACACAAACACCAAATGCATATTTGTTGTCATGGGTTGCAGTCACGGACAATATTGTTCTCCTTACCTCGACCATCATTTCAGTTCTGCCAGCTTTCCATGTATATTACGGATGGTTGGAATGGTACTTTACTTACAGTCAGAAATATACCAAGTTCGTTTTTCCAATATATCGCAGTGCAAGGCAGATGTCCCTTTATTTTCTTATCATGGTGGCTTATGACAGATATTTAGCTTTAGCCAAGCCTATTAAAAGCATGAAGACCCGTTCTGTGTCAAAGTGGAGGTGCCGATCACACGTAATGATAGTAGGGGTTTTATTATACAGCATTCCAAAGTTCTTTGATCATGAATTTGTAGGTTATGCGCCTTGTCCAACTCATTCGGATGGTATTTGTCAAAAGACTGAAATCAAGAACTGGGGAAATGTTTATAAAGTGATGTGCCGAATAATACCCACGGTAGTTCTGGAACTTTTTGGACCAGCTGTGATCAACACAACGCTGTACGTTAAAATTCGGGCAGCTGTGAGGAAAAACGAGGAATCTCGCTCCAAAATGATTCTGCGGTCGCGAAACAATCAATCGAATAAACTTACAAAGGTCATCACCACTCTTCTGGTATTTTACTTGCTGTCTGTAATACCTCTGTCTATTTATTTCCCATTATATTTTTTGCGAGACCAGATTGCAGATTTCGGGTTCCATTATGCCCTGGATGCCATGACGGCACCAATGCTGTGTTTAAGTGCTATGAACGCAGCAGTCAACTTTTTTGTCTACGGAATCATAGGTTCAGCCTTTAGACGCGACATGAGGGATCTTCTATGTCTTAAATAAGGTCATGGGTTTTTGCAGTATTATATCAGCATACAATTTCTGAGAGACATTAAGCTTTTATATAATTGCAGGCTAAGATTTCCTTTGAAATAACAAGCTTAAGGAGAGTAAGCAGAAATGTGAGTAGTTTGCAAATTTATGCTTAATCAAGGTTCGTGTGTGTGTGTGTGTGTGTGTGTGTATGTGTGTGTGCATGTTTGTATCACGATTTAATCTCCGAAAAAAATTCTGATACCGATAAATAACATTGATGCCATAGAAATTTTAATTTTTAAGTTTCATTCACGGCAAAATTTAGATCATACTCTCAAGAATTACGAAGACAGAAAAAGGGTGACGAAGGGTAAACCCACTATATGACAAATACTGTATAGCCAGTTTTTTTTTTTTTTTTTTTTTTTTTCTGAAACAATACGCACTGGTGCATGTCATCTAAGTACTTGTATCACATATTTTTTATAGTCATTCAGTGGGTGTGGGTGTTTTTGAACTATGCCAATTTTGTATAAGGAGGGGTACCTAACCTGGAGCATCTACTTACGTTAGGTTCCTTTTATTTTTCATTAGCAAGGCAACATATTCTAAGAATGACTACAGATTTCGAGAAATATATGATTCTACAATTCAGTTAGATATGCATTCTATCTATTTTATCCACTGACACTGTTCGGTCGAAAGGTCAAATATATAAATTATTGCTGTTTACGTAAACGTTAACCAGGAAAATGTCATTTATTATATAAGTCGTAAGTCCTTCAAGTACCACAATGTTTAGCTCATAGCTAAGAGAGGCTGTCACTTTTGCTATTACTGGCTACCTGTTTTTTAGCCACTCTCATATGGCTTTTTATAAACCACGACGTGTAGTAGGTAAATATAAACTGAGGTACGGTGTCTAAAACTTAGAGAGACTGTTTTTGCAATTAACCTAGTAGTGTATACACGTTAGCACATATATTTCTGGAAAATTATAATTCTCGTTTTGTAATGGCATGCCCGTCGTCAGTCATGTTAAAATTGTCCATATTTTAAGATTATATACCTATATATATATTCCCATATATATATATATATATATATATATACCCCATATATATATATCCCAGATCTATCGAGCAACTATTTTTTTTTTAATTCTTAGTAGCAAATGCCAATTACAAAGACAAAATTAACACATACTGTAATATACATATACAATAAATGTAATAAAATGGATATTGTATTAATGTAACTTTCATTTTTCTATGAATAGAATACAAGGGAAATAGCAATATTTATTGCCATTGAGGTATATTATGTGCAGATTACTGCATGAGAATGAAGGAGAAGCGGTGAACTTAACCCAACCAAATCAGGGCTTCATGAGAGCCAGTGCTCTAAAGTTTTTTTTCCCATAGGCAACTAACCAGAATAAGTCCAACATTTTTCTTTAAAGTTTTTACAAACATCATTGTAGCGTTTTGGCATTCTAATCATCTCCTGATAATCGAAATCTGCAATGCAATGAATGACATGCTAACTCGACTATGCCTAGTACTTCTCAGTTACCGTTGTAAGTTCGTTTTTCGTTTTTTTAATTCACCTATCAATCATTAAAACAAACGCATTTGACACTACCACTCGTTTTTCTTCTTTTTATCATTTAAAGATGAAATCTATACCCAGAAGTACCCAACAAGCATTTTGTGATACTTGATGAAAGATCCATGATAACCAATCTCAAAAACAAAAAGTAGTGTAACTACTTGTTAGATAGGACAGCGTGTCTCTGTGTGCGACAAAAGATTCAATTTATTAAAATATATATATATTTTGAAATATGAATCCCATATGAACAGTTGTTATCCCTTTAAAGGT